TATCGGCTCAAAAAGCAAAAGTTTCGTCCGTGCGCGTTTCCGCCACCACAGCTTGGCATGCGAAAAGGCGCCACAGGCTGCTGAACGCGCCTCACTGTCGAACGCCAGCTCCTCCGCTAGAGGCGCTACGCGCGTTTTTCAAAGCGCCCCCTATAGTTCCCGCACGGAGTGTATACATGGGCTATCGACGGGCATAAGTTTAGTTTTTTTTTTTTTAATATCACTGAATTTTTATATAATTTTTGAATTATTGTCGAAAATGAAATTAACCGATAATTTGAACCCACTTTATCGAAATAGGGCATTTATTATTTCGTTAAATTTTTTACTATTGATGCCGATCATATCAACTCTTTATTGGCTTGATCCGATTTCCTCCTTTTTTTGTTGTATCTTCTCTAGAAGTGATCGAAATCGCTCTACGTTCTCAGAACGGCCAAACGCAGTTTCCGCAGGTCGGCTTCGCTGCGAAGACTATACTGCTTCTTTGTGTCTTCAAATGCAGCGGGTAAATTCACTTCGATTGAGAACACTCGTGCTTGGCTACATATTGTATTTTCTTAATTTTTTAATAATGGCAACTGACATTCCTTAGTCTGATAGTTAGCGGATAGAGCCTATTTTACACGTTTTACGGCATTTATTCATCTACGACAGCGTTGTATTTTCCACGGCCTCGACAGAAACCTGCTGAGCTTCCGGGGTTGTGACAGACAGGTGCGCAACAGTGCCTACAGCTTCGACGCGTTTGCTCTTCTGCGACATCCGATAGCAATGTGAAGAATAAAAGACCAAAAGCGCACTAATCAACACCTTCAAATTGATGTGTGAACAGCTCCACCAGCAAGCAGGCTAGCGAAAGGACATTCCTAGTGTTGCAAATATTTTGGGCTAGATGGCGTAACGTGTCACAGGATTTAACGAAAAACATATTTCTCGGACACTACACCACAATAGTTTTCCACACTTTGAAAAATGAAGGGTAGGTAAAGGGGGAGAAAGGGGTGGACAAAAAAAAAAAAAAAAAGGAAAGCTCGACGTTCGACAAGGCCCTTCGCTTTCGTCATTTTAAAACGCGCGCAAACAACGTTAAAAAACATAAAAAAAAAAATAAAAATGCCTTTCACTTTCACTGACACCCCCCCCCCCCCCCCCAAGAAAATGTGTTTTTTTTTTATTTTTTTTATTTATTTAGGCGATTCATTATGGTGTTGGAAGATTACCCAATTAATATTTCGCTACAGTCACGCATATTTTTAAAAAAGACCCCCCCCCCCCCGCCCCCCCCCCCCCCCCAATCAAAAAAAAACCGCAACTGCTTGGTGCCGAAACCTAAACCTCGGCACACCCAACCGTCTTTTTTTTTTCTTTTTTTTCGCGCGCAGCAGGCGAAATATTTTACGTGAACCGTTTGCCGTGCGATTCCTTTGCAGTTATGTTCCGCTCACTGTTCGGTACTTCAAGAAGAGCTGTTTTGTACATTGAAGAGTTTGAAATGAGTAGTGAGTGCCCGTGATCGGCTCCGAAAGTACCCCCAAGATGTTGCGTGAAGAGCTGCCTCACATGTCTTGCACCTGAAAGAGTTTCCGAAAGGTCAACGGGATCGGGACCAATGGCTGGCTGCAATTCGTGTAGAACAGTTACGGGGTTCGGAAAGCGGACGCTACCTGATTTATATCGTCCTTGCGTTATGTGGAAAGTGACTATATTGAGTTCGCAGGTGTCAAAAAGGGAGTCCCATACCATTTAGTTCAGCAACGTTTCGTCCACAATAATTTTTCTCCAGTGATAATTGCCAAAAAAAAAAAAGTGTAAATATTGCAAACTGATTGACCAAAAAAAAAACAAAAAAAAAAAAAAAACAGTACGCCCACATTCGGGATTCAACCTGCGCCCACTGCGTGTCCGCTGCATGTGAAGCGGAGCTACTGGGGAACTCGTCGTAATAATATTGGTAATGTGCAGCCGGTCTACTGCAGGTAGGAAAGTTTGCTGCCGATTTCATTCCACCAAAGGCACTCCCGCCTCGAAGTCAGGCAGCACCAAGCATTGGCCACATTCGCACCTAGTAAAGAAATTGTTCGCGTGCATATTCAACTCGAAGTACGCACTTCGTGCTTCGTGCTTGACGTTTCCACGAGCGATCGTCTTCAGCCACGAGAAAGGGCAGCGGCTCGGCAACCTCTTCGGGCAAATCGGCTTGGTGGTAGGGCGTGTCGTGCGGGATGAATACCAATTCTTTTGATTGGTCCAAAATTTCTCTTTCGAAGGAAGACAGATTCGCCGGTACCGTGAACGACGGTTCTGAAGTCGAGGTCCCACGTCCGCGTCGTCCGCTGCTATCGCCGTCCAGCCCGCGAGTCCCACAATACGCGACCTTAGAAAACGGCCCGTGACCACGAAGAAGAGAATAAGCGCGACTCAAACCGGCCAGTTCTCGATCGGCGGTTTTCAGGCTGAAAGAAACCGAATTTCGAGCTGCAAATTTTGTTCTGAGTAGTTGGGCTCTCATACGTCACGTACGTATAACTAAAAACAATGGCGAGCATAAATATCCTGTCAGTGTCTTTTTAAACTTTGCAGTAATATCGAGACATTCAATCTTGTTCTGCTAGTTTCCGTTCTGAGTTTTCTCAACCAATCGAGGAAGGCACCTATTAAAACTCCCAAATACTAGAACCACACAACCGCACAGAATAATATATTTAATGTTTGATAGATTATATTAGAGCGCAGCTCTTAGGCGCCCGTTTCCGGCTTGAGCGGCGTCGCCGTCGCCGTCGGCGTAACCGCGCGGTGCATTATGGGAATTCTGGGAAATGTCCCATACTGCACCGCGCGAGCCCCCCCACCGGGGTCACGTGACCTCGTGGGGGGGGCACGTGACCCCCGAGGTCACTTGACCCCCTCCTCGAGGTCACGTGACCCCCGCCGATGTCGCGTGACCCCCGATGACGTCATCGTCACTGATGACGTCACCGGCATACACATCGTCATCATCACTGATGACGTCACCGGCATCCGCATCGTCATCATCACTGATGACGTCATCAGTGACGTCACTGATGTCGTCACCGGCATCCGCATCGTCATCATCACTGATGACGTCATCAGTGACGTCACTGATGACGTCACCGAAATTCGCATCGTCGTCGTCATCATCACTGGTGAAGTCAGCAGTGGCGTCACTGATGTCACCGGCATCCGCATCGTCATCGTCATCATCACTGATGACGTCATCAGTGACGTCAGTGATGACACCATACTGCGGCATCTAAGGATACATTGAAGGAAATGTATTACTACGCACACCACTAAATATGGCTGAAAGCATATTATACATCTGCGCACTGTATTGCTGCTATTAAGCTCAAATAACTTTCACACTAATGTTAATGACAAGTAAGCTATTAAATCTGTCTAAGTTTAAAACATCAAAATTGACTGCTATACAAAGCTCAATGCATCAAAAGTAGAGAAGAAACAGTAAACCTTTTCTCGGCTTATTATTTCCTGTCGATATACTTTTACCAACATACTCTTACTCAAATTTAGAACCCTATGTTTTTATTAAAACTTGGGTTTGGGCTAGTTGGCCCACACTGAATTAAAAGGACAAAAGCACGAACAAAACGAGGACAGTAATAAGGCGGAGTACCGGGCCAGCTGGTTGACGTTATACATGTCCGGTCGTGTTTGTTCCTCTTCGTAGTCCGTGTTTTCTGAACTGTTTTCCCCATCATGTAAAACGAGGACAATGAAGACACGAAGACGGCGGGAGAGGCGCTACCTCTTCACTAAAAAATAGTTCACATCAACCCTTTCGCATTGACACAGTTTAATTTGAAAATAATTGCAATAATTTATATTTCATATTTTGGCTAGCATTTTTCCCTTTCCCTTGCAGTGCTTTTCCACCAGGGAGAGAGGCACAACAGCAGATGCGCGTCGATCTCCTGCAAGAACGACGGTCGCTTCCCGCAATGCTAGGATAGTAAATGGCGCACCATCGCAATTTATACGATTAGGGAATTGTAGTAGACCGTTTCCGCAGCCCGCTAAGCACCCGGATAGCGCTCCGTAATCCGCCAAAAGACGACAAGGCTAGCGGCGCGCATGCGCAGCTGCGACGTTTTCTTCGGGGATACCGTAGCGGAGGAGAAAAACGATCTACTACAACTCCCTATTACCAGAGGCCTCCACGCTTCCCCGCTCCCCTTTGTTCGGCAGCGCCATGAGATAAATTGTGAATTTTACGACAGCGTGAAATGCGGGACATTTTGAACATTTCTGGATTATCTTGCGGGACGCGGGACACAAGCCCTCAATGCGGGACAGTCCCGCTAGTCGCGGGACGGGTGGTCACCCTACCCTAACACGTGACATGCGAGAGACCGCGGAAGTTCTCTTGCAAAAATGCAAGTGAGCTGGACAAGAATGACGATAATATTAATCCCTGGAGAAGGGGAAAAGGGGGGCGACGGACAAAACACAAATTTCTAAACACAGCTAGGTGTCTGCTGTGCCACCGAAAAAGTCCGCCTGGTTCAGAGCACAGACACACTTCGGCGTGCCAAAGAAGCTTATCACGCCGTGGGACAGGCGGAACTTGCGTTTGACTAGTTGTGCATCTTGCCTACGGCGTTGTGCTTTCGTAAAACTTTCCACGTGTTCTCAAAGGAAATTCTCACCGTTTACAGAGCGTTTTAGCACACGTCTTCCACGAATGACGACGGACGAGCAGAAAACGTGTCTTCAGCACGCTGTCGCCTAGGCTCCGCAACGCTCTACACGGTCGATTCGCCATTTCCCAAGATGGCCGTCTGGTGGCCGCACTTGCGCTGCTGCTACCATTGTATACTACTACTAATCAAATTTAAATTCAATACATTGTTCAGTGGGATAATAAAATAGTGCAGTAAAAAATAAAAGTAGACAGTTGCCTAAAGTTGAAATACAAATAATTATCATAAGTACAACCAGGGAGCTGCTGCAGTGCTGGTCCCGCAGGTAAACAAATGGCGCCTTTCTACATAAAATTACCGGGTCCAGTCCAGAGTTCGTCTTGAGCCTCAGAATACGTAATTACAGCGTTACGACGTCAGTTACCTTTCTCTAACGTAGATCGACCTTGTCTGCCAGAAATGGAAACTGAAAATCCGGCACGTCTGCGAAAGTTGGCAGTGAAATTCGACAACATTTCTCGGCCCGACGGATCGGCACTTCTGGCACACGGTAGGTCCACGCCGGTTTCTTTCGACTTCGACATCCCCCGGTGGGGTCCTAACGCTTGCGTTTACTATTCATTATTAATTTTTAGGGGAGACAGTAATCCAGGCCGGAGTCTACGGCCCCATCGAAGTGCGCCAGGCTCGGGAGCTTGCAGAGAAAGCGACGGTGGAGGTCTTCTATCGCTCAAAGACTGGACATCAAAGTAATCGAGAGTGTTCCGCTCGTTTCTTCTAAAACTGGCCATGTCCGTGTGCTGCTCGTGTAAACTATGGTGTCTCTTTTTTTTTTTTTTTTTCAGGTTAAATAAGGTTGGACAAGCTCCTCCCACGAAGCTTTTTGCACTTTCCACTTTAGCAGAGGTGTAACTGGAGAGCTTTGTGGGTGGGGCTTGTTGCTCTTTTCGTAACATGCAGCTCCAAGCTTCCATGGTGCTAGGCACCATTGGACTTACCGTTGTAACGTCTCAAAAGGTTTCACCACCCCGTGTTTTTTGTTTATTGGCTCTCAAGAATGACAGCTTTCATGGAGTTGGGTGCATGCCAGGGAGGTGTTCTGTAAGCTGCTTGCTTTCGTTACATGCTCAACACCAACGGACACAGCTATGGTGGCCAAGAGACATACATTGTGTAGTGCACTTTTGGGCAATGTAGCTTAAGCTCGGTTCAGACAGTTGTGCTGGTTGCCCTCAAAGCGACTGAAAAGACTGCAACCACAAAGGCACCGGAACGGCTCATTGTATTGAACCCATCAAGCAATTAAATTTTATAATGATGAACTCAAGACTGGGTAAAATAATAAGACGGACGATCAAACATGCATAATTGAAAAAGTGACTTCGTGAAGCAATGATGAGTCACGGCTGTCCCAGTCTCTCGGTCGTTGCTATCTTCTGGGTTGCTGTGGCCGCAACCGACGCAGATCTTTGAACTAGCCTTTGTCGTCTGCTCAAAGTGACAACTTGTGTGGTCAAAGCGTATTACCAGTAAGCTCATTTTCATCAAGTACTCGGTAAAACGCGAGGAAACAGTGCTGGACAAGTTTCTACTGTTAAAAGCGTGACCCTCTTGTCACAGCAGTGAGTGGAGTTTATGCCAAAAGCCCTCTTTGATTAGTTGTATTGAATGAGGAATTATGTGCCATTAAGCATGCAATGAGAATGATAAAATGTCAAGTGTGGTGTCCACAGTGAAATGCCCCTCTCTCCTCTCATTTTCCCCCTTCCTCCCTCATCTCTCAGACTCTTCCGGCCCAGTAGCATGGCCAGGAATTTCTTTCGGGGATGAAGAGGGTTTTGGTTGGTTGGAATGTTTATAGCTTGAGGTGTGTGTGGGGGGGGAGGGGAGGGAAAGTAAGGAAGAGGAAGGAGCATAATGCATGGTATGCTATACAGTCAGTCGGATGGGGGGCTGCAGGAGTCTTTAGCTTCATAAGCCCCTCCCTTGACTGTGCCACTGTTTCTAGACCATTTAATTTATAATTTTTATAGGGATCATTGTTGTTTAGCAAAGAAAGCCTAAAGAAGTATGGTTTTAGAATTATATAAATTCCCAACTCTGCCAGCAGAAGCTCTGGAACTTAATGAAATATATGCAACAAACTTTTATGAAGCGTATCGTTTTTTCTTTTTTTTTTGCCTAAGGCAGATTTCTAATGATTTTGCAGTGTGCCACTAGTAGATCTTGGCATTTGGCAAGCTACTTCAGCTACTCCGCCGAAAATAGACGGGTTGTCTCTAGTGTGATTGAGCGAGACGAAGTTCAAACCCCAGTCACTTGTGGCTCCTCCGTTTTCAGACTTCATCTACTATTTACGTGCCAACAATGTCAACCGCACTCATTTTGATGGACGTTCCCAACAACAGAATAAAGAGATATATTAGTGAACCATTGATGTTTCGGCTAGAGAGCAATTCTGGAAAGAGGTAACATCATGGATGGAGTGTACATCCTTTTACCCTGTAAATTTAGCAGGAAATGTTTCTGTGGGAACCACATATCATTCCAAACCTCAACAGAGACAGATTCTTTGGTCACATTAGTTTGACAGGAGCCTGAGCATTTTTATGGGCAAAAGCAGAATTGGTATGAGTGTTTCCAGCTTTAGCGGTGACAAGCCAGTTGTACCAAGCAGAACCGAAATTCCCTCTCAATCGCTCAGTGACAGTCAAGGTGTAAAGTATCAAACAACGTACTTGAGAGAGTAGGATTAACTTTTATTGAAGTGTAAAGGTATTTAGCTTAATTGTCTCACAGGCTGAGGTAGCAAACTAGTAACATGTTCCTCATTGTCGATGGATGGTTCTTCCTTTCTTGCCCCCACCAACTGTAGGGTCTAAAAAAACTAAGCTTTAACGATAATAATTTCTGGAGAAGGGGAATAAGGGGACAAAGGGCAAACGCAAATATTCAAACTGAAGATTTGTTTCTGTCCTTTGCCCCCCTTCTCCAGAGATCGTTATAATTTATCTTGTTCAGCTCAACTGCACCTTTGCATTAATTGCATTGATGTTATAAGCTTCAGCCTTCCTTCTTTGTACAGACTGTTCCGACCGATTGGTGGAGAAAGTCGTCCGCAGCACCCTGGAAACTGTCATGTTGGTTGCGCTCCATCCACGAACGTGCATCTCCATCTCTCTGCAGGAGCTTCACAATGACGGCAGCGTATCCTTTCGTTGCTCCCCGTTTCTTTCCGTGTTTTATCTTTCAGTCCCCTGTCGATAATCTTCTACCTTAACCCGAGTCTGGGCAGTTATTGGCCTGCTGCATTAATGCGGCCTGCCTGGCTGCCATAGATGCGGCCATTGCCATGAAATGCCAGGTGGCTGCGGTTTCTGCAGCGATCACCCACACAGGCATCGTTGTGCTGGATCCTAATAAGAAACAGGAAGAGGTAAGACTAGTCGTGTAACAGACCCAAGTATGCCAAAATCTTTTCACGGCGATGGCCGTTATTGGCGAGGTTTTGCAGCAGATACCGGGTGTGTTTCGGGTATGTGTGTCCTGGCCTGCTAAATGTAGCGGGAAATTTTCTCCGCTATATTTGGCGGGAAATTGCAGTGTTACGTCGCAATGTCGTGACGTCACGTCACATGACATGATATGTCACAGTTTTCCAGCTAAATCTAGCAGAGAAATTCCCCGTTAAAACTAATGGATACATTTCCCGCTAAATTTCAGAGGAATTTATTGTCATGTGAAGTTACGGCCGTGTTGCGGCAGCCGGTGCAGAATCGTCGGGAAGCAATGGCGACAAACAGCACAGCAAACAGTGTCCCCGTCGTGATTACGACGGGCCTTAAGGCATTTACGAATTCAAAAAGTTTCTCCGGTAGCCGGTGCTGCCGATGCAGGGTCATCGGGAACTAATGGTAATGAACACCACAGCAGACAGTGTCCCTGTCTGGGTTTAAGGGGATTACGAATCGGGAAAGCTTCCTCAGTAGCCAGTGCACAGTCATCGGGGGGGAAGCAATGGCAACGAGCAGCACAACGAACAGTGTTCCTGTCGTGGTTACGACGGGATTTAAGGCAGTTGCTAATCCTGAAAGCTGCTTCCGTGGTGCCAATATGATGAATGGAAAGCTCCTTCATGAATCTAGCCACGTGTACGACATAAAAGAAGGTACGTTTCGACGGACAAGTGGATATCACGGTGCCCCGTACTCCATATACGAAATTAAGCGCACCCGCAAAAAAAACTTTGAGCTTCGCGTAATTAGGTAAGAGAGCTTTCTTAGTTGGTGTTGAGTGGACTGCACTAATTATGTACATTTATTACCTTCTGAATCAGCTTGACAATAACTGAGCGATTGTTTTCGCGCCGTTCTGCGATTCCCACTACTATCTTCCTGTGGGCTGATGGAAACATTCATAGGTGGGCGACCGCGTTCCGCTTCTCGATTCCGGTGAAGTATTTGCTGCATATTTTAGAGTTTGCCGTAGGTGTCCATGTTGTTCATCATTGCTAGAATAGAAAAAAGTTAATTGTATTATTCGTCAGTAGCTGAAAGGAAAACGCAAACTCTAAGGAAAGAAATGCCACTAACCTGTATGGACACACAAGTCGCACCCAGGTCGCGCGGTACTCCGCCTCGTACGGCTTCCAAGGAACAACGTAGATCTTCGTGTCGTGCGCGCTCTTGCAGGTACTGTTGCAGCCGACCACGCTGCAATTGTTGCAGCTTTCTTGGTGCGGAATAGCCACCCAGAAATTACAGCTTTAACCCGCTACATTGCACAACCAACGCAGCGACTGGCAGTAGCTCTCCTATGCAACGGACCTGTTTGCCTCTAGGGGCGCCCTGGTCGGGGCTTGCATTAGATTGGCACGGTTCCTATGTGATGTCACAGTGTTGCATGAACACCGTCCACTAAATTTAGCGGGGTGTAAAGGGGTGTCCAAACAGGACACTACAAAACGCACGACTCCGACAAATCGTGAAAATTGAAGCGGATGCTTCTATTTTTACGATTTTTCGGAGTCGTGAAAATGTTTGCAGGAGTCGTGAAAATTTTTACGATCACGACTGCTCTCCTCGTTAGATTGACGTCACACACCACCTGCGTCTGTCTCACCTCGCCAACGCCCTCGCGTACCGCCGTCGCCTCGGCTCGAAGGCCAAGGAGGTCCGGCTTCGGGTGGATTTGGGACATTCCTGCGTCGAAGGGTGCGTTTCGCCCGCCTCGGATCTGCTTTCTTTGTTGAGATTCACTTTCGTCGTGATGGTGTCTGATGTGGTTCCGTATTCTGAGCCAAGGCCTTGAGCGATTGACCGATAGCCAACAAAGCGTGTGGGTGGCTCTCCGGACCCACGTGATGAGCAGAGCAAGGCCACCGTGGAGGAAGCGAGGGGGAGATTTGACGGGGGGGAAGTTTCCCCCCGGGAGCTTTGACGGAGGGAAATGTTCCCCCGACGGCCGGAAGCGGAGCGCGGCACGATTTGCCGGAGTCGTGAGTTTTGTAGTATCCTGTTTGGACAGGCCTTAAGTCTACTAAATTTAAACGCAGCAGTGTAACTGTGCGCAGCAGTGTGCAGCGTCTTGGCTGTTGCCGGTAGTTGTTTTTGAGGACACAGCGAGGAACCAGGAAGCTTTTCTTTTTCTAAGGGCTTGGAATCCGGATTTATTACTTTGGTGGCCTAGCTTTGATGTGGCAAAGACAGTTCCATCTTTGAGTGTTTTCTTAGTGGGGACTAGAGCGTCATCAGTCGTTCTGCAGTAGAGCACTGCACGAGCCCGAATTTCTAGGCCCGGCCCGGCAGAGGCACGGCACGGGCCAGGCCCAAGCTTGACAGAATTATTTTCTAGGCCCAGCCCGACCCAACCCGGAAGAGGCACTGCCCGGGCTTGGCAGAACGTTTAGACAAAAGCTTGAGCGCGGCCCGAGCCCGACAAATTTTTGAATATAAGCCTAAGCTCGGCCCGAACCTGACAGATTATATACATGAGCCCGAAAAAGTTTGCAGGCTTTAACCTCAAAACTGTGTGAGCATAAAGCAAGCATATTCTATTTAAATTTCTTTTAAACTCGGACTGAGTTTTTTTTATACGATAAATATCCCGACTTAGACAATGTATTTTCGAGAATATAGGCGAGGTATGGGATTCATAAGTGATCTTGAGAAAAAAAAAGTGGCCATTACGCATTTCTAAAAGAGATATCGGACCTTTCGTTGTTCAGTTCATTTCACAGAGAACTCCTTTTTACATGTTTTTTGTGAAAAAACAATCACAATCACGCTAGTGAATTTTCAAAAGGCTGTATAAGCATAAAATTATCAATATTTAGCTTATCTTTGGTGGCATAGTAAGGCTCCCTGCACAAAGTGCAAAGTCAAGGTCACATTTTTTTTTTTAGTTTGAAAAGCAGAGAGAAGAGACACTCACGTTGCGCCCTGCGACTGGAGTGCCCTTGTTTTCTTGACTGCACTTTCTCACTACACTGGTGGAATCCATATATTTTCTTTTATCCATGCAAAAACTTTTCAAGTGCAAGACGTCTTTTTTTTTTTCTGAATGCCGCCATAGTGATTTTGCATTTCGCTTGTTTGTTTTCATTGATCCTAAAAGATCAATGAGCACAGTTTTTGTTATCAACAATTTAGAATTTGCGGCACACGGCTGCCCAACCACAGCCCGGGTCGGCAAGGCCCGAAAATTTTTTTGTTCAAGCTTGAGTCCAGTTTGGCCGGTGCTCAAAAGGGCTCAAGCTTTTTTGAAAGTGTGTCGGGAGATCATCATCATCGCCACGACTGCCGGGTGACCCTGGACTCTGCCCGCTGCTTCCGCGCACGGGCCCTCTCTTCACCGGATCGCAGCTGGACACGGCGCGACTCGCATCTGTATTGCTATGTTAGAATAAACCTATGCAGTTCAGTCAATCTTATCTCAACCACGACATAGTGGCCGCGGTGCTAGCGTAACAATTCATTGGCTACAGTTCCCCACCCCTTCACATTGACACCGTTGCTCAGTCTGAGCAGTAACCAGATGCAAGGGCTCCAATGCCAGTCTTCAACCCATTTGTCGTTGCTCTCCCAGAGAAGCTAGACTTCTGCTGTCCAGACAACTGGCAGCCCTGGATCACGCATTGAGATCACTACCGAGTCATCTCAGGACTCAGCAAGCAAGACAGCGCCCTAAGTTAATTATTCTCCTGTATGCCATGGGACGCAGGGTGGAGGACATTCTAGCATCTCCCAAGGTCGGTGATGAACAGAAGCTCGTCTACGACTGTGTGAAGAATGCATTTGAAAAGCATTTTATTGTGCAGTGAAACATCATATACAAGCGCGCTACATTCAACCGCAGAAAGCAACAGTCTTCACAAGACAGTCGAAAGTTTTGTTACCGGTGCCAGGTGCCATCTTTCAAGGTGCCAGTATGGCACCTTGAAAGACGAGCTTATCAGGGACCGATTTGTGATAGGCCTCCTCGATACGGCTCTCAGCTAGAAGCTACAACTCGACTCTGCGCTTACCCTCGAGACCGCTGTGGCTGCTGCGCGAAACTTTGAAGCCATCAAGCAACACCACAAAGAAATATGAGGTGCGCAATGTCAGCACGACGCCACCGTCAATGAACTGAGCTCTGCACACAGAAAGAAGAACTGGAGCAAGAGAACAACACTCACACTTCACCAAAGTGGATAGGGGGACGGCTCACTCGTCCACTCTTTGTGACGATAGGTGTCACAGCTGGTTGCAGGTGTCCACTTGTTCGCCATGTAGTACCAATCGTCGTCTGCACCATGTAGGATTGGGGTTGAGGCGCTGGCCCTACAATGTGGCTATGAGACTCTGCTCTCTTGAGAATACTAACCGCAGTTCCTAGTGGAAGGGTGTCGAGCTGACGCGTTCTGCGGCGCTTGTCATGGTGTTTCGCAAGTGAACAGCATCTCAATCATATTCTATAGTCGGTTACAACTCAAGAAAGTACGAGAAGCTCCTCCCACAAGCGTGATGCACACGTTTCAAATCCCTTTGCAGTCGGAAGAAGAGTTCACTGGAAACACTCCTTGTTCCGCTTCAATGGATTCTAACTTGTCTCCAATCCCACTTTTTAATAAAGCAGCCTTTGTATCCATCGGAGGGAGAACCTAATCCCCAAAAGTTGTATTTGTTTCCATCGGAGGGGGAAAACTCTAACCTCTCTCTCGTAGCTTCCACAATGCTAAGTCAAAGTCGAAAGATAAAGCAAATATGTACAAAAAGGCAAGACCCTCCTCGCGCGTTGGCCGCTATGTCATGGAAACGATGGGACGCTATTGGATACGGAGGTGGCGGAGGGATATATGATTCCCTTTGAGATGCATTTGCCGCTACCTTCTTGACCTGTAACTTACTATAGGTCGATACGGGTGCCGACGTCACTGCCATTGTGTCGTACGAC